AGTTAGCTAGGTAACACGAGAGGTAAGGTAAAGGAAGGGGAATGGCATGTGCAAATATCCTGTGGTAAGATAGAGCCAGGGAAATTTGACAGCCTAACAAAAGATTAGTATGGCAGAGAAAGCAAGGAGAGGCAAAGGGGAAATTAAGTAAAGGAGAGTTCACTGGTCAAATAGGATCAAGCTGTAAGGTTTTATGAGGGGAATATAGGGTTTGGGCTTTACCTTAAGAGCAGCAGTATGGGGTACCAGAGGGCTGGGGCAGGGCATGATGCCTTTGAAAATGATCCATCTGGCTGCAGTGTGGAGATGGGAAAGGCAGGGGAAAGACCACTTTAGAGTCAGTCATCCAGCCCAGACATGGGAATTGAGCTAATTTGGATGGGTAGATGGATGTCTAGATGGGTGGATAGGTGGAAATACAAGTAGCTCATAAGTGGGTGGAGGGAAAGGTGTGTGAATGGTTGAACAAGGGGATAGGGGATGGGTGGGAGGAAGGCCTAATGGGTAGGTGGATGGATAGAAGAATGGAACAGGTGGGTAGATGGATATGTGGATGGATGGAAGGAGAAGTGGATTGGGAATGGGGGGAAAATAAATAGCTGATGAATGTATGGAAGGGAGCCAGTGAATGGTAAGTAGATGGGTGAATGGATGAGTGGATATGTGGATAACAGATAAGATGGAAAGATGGGTGGAAGTGGAACTTGGGAATTAGGCCCCTTCCGAGAAGGTAGGACTGGAACTGCAGACATGCCCAGACTGGGGTCCCTGGTACCAGTGCTGCACATTCAGGCCACATCTTCTAGGAACAGGGCCCTACAAGAGAAGCTCCAGGTGGCCAGAATTCCAGGGTAGCCCAAGCTTCTGCCTGCAGGCCTGGGCCACCATGCGCAGACAGGAGGGACAGGCCAAGGGAGCGGCCACACCCACTTCCCAGCTGCCTCCAGCCACCCCAGCCCCTCAGCCTTCGGGGGCAGGAGCAGGGGACCCCTCCATGTGCTAGACACTAAGTACCCTGCTAGTTATGGCCTGGCCTGGACTTCCTGATTATTGTCCATGTAAAAATTAACGTAGCTGTGTTTTTCCAGGCATTTACAAAATCAAATCTCCAGGTGGGCAGATGAATAACTGTATTTGCATTAAAGACTAATGTAACGAAAAAAATACACAAGGCGATAATTCATAATGCATTCTATTCTACAGAGTCATATTTTAATGCCTGACATATCCTGGGCAGCTCCTCAGTGCTAATTTTATTTAATGAGCACATGTTATAGAACTTTCAGAGCACTATCCCTGGGCAATTAAAATGTGCTAACCTTTTTGGCTAAATTGTATTGCTAAAGAAAGGTCTTCGGTGAGCAACAAAAGGAAATGTTCAGGCCTTTCTGAGGCGGATCCTAGCGGAAGGCTGTAACAGGAAAGAGCTGTTATTCCACTGGGCTCCTGGGTATGCCGGCCACAGGGACCTCTGCCCTCCTCCCTGAGTCCGGGACTGTGTCCATAATCCTTGTGTGGCCAGGTCTCCTCCCATGAGCAGGACGAAGAGCCAAGGCCCAGGCCCCACACTGAGGAGCCCTCAGTGAGCAGGCATTGAGACCCCACTGTCTGCCAGGCCCAGGAGACCTGGGGCACACTCCGACTTGAGGGGCGTGAGGCAAGGGGCCCCAGGCAGTGGACTAAAATAAGGAGGGGCAATGTCCACTTATCCAAAACCCCGACTGTGCCCCCATTTCCCAGTCTGTGTGAGGAACACATCCGAACTCTGGAATCCACAGTCTAAGAGTTTAGACTGGGAAGGGTTATGAGAAAGCCTGAGCTGAGTGGTTCCCAAGCTGTGTTGTGGACCAGAGGAATCCTCTGGGTCTGTGTCTGATGGAGACTCAGGTGGGAAGGAGGAGGACACAGGGCCAGCACTGTGGGTGGGTGATGGAGGTGAGAGGGCGGGGTGGGGAGTGAGGCGGGCTGGGATGACAGGGCATGGCTGAGAGCCAGGTGGAGGAGTCACTCGAGCTGGGTGAAGGAGTGGCTTGTCCTTTGGAGCTGCAGCAGCGCATGGCGGCCAGGCCTGGTGGGGTCAGTGCATGGGGAAGGCAGTAAGGAGCTGTCGAAGCTGCCTGGGGATGGCTGATGTAGTGGGAGAGAGAAATAAAGGACCAGGGCGGAGGTGGCACAGAGCAGCAGAAGGGCAGGAAGCTGGCAGATGAAGAGCTGTCCCAAGCTGGGTGCAGTGGTGCATGCCTGTAATCCCAGCACTTTGGGAAGCTGACGCAGGAGGATCACAAGCTCAAGCCCCACACAGGCAATTTATCGAGACCCTGTCTCAAAATAAAAATAAAAAGGACTGGGGATGTAGCTCAGCACAAAGGCCCTGAGTTCAATCCCAGTGCTGCCAAAACCAAACTGTCCCAGAATTCCAGAGTCACCTTGTGGGAGCCTCTGGCCTGTGCAGGAGTGCATGGTCTGACAAAGGTTGCAGGCAGGAGAGTTTGGATGCGTTTGCCCTCTGTAGAGGACCCCTGCTTGCTTGGATCTTGGAGCACTCAAGAGTGTGGAGATAGGGAAAGAGCTGTCTGTCTGTCTGGTCAGTGAGTCAGGGCTGCAGGCAGCTGGGGAGCCTGGATTTAATTCCCAGGAACCAGGGATTCACTGGCCACAGTCCCTGCCTGGTGAGCACTGTGACGTCCACTGTGGTCTTGGCTGCTGTGGCCCTGCCTGCAACAGTCACCCCACTACAGAGAAAGGACTTGTTCACCACAAAAAGGTCACTGGGGGCAAGATTCCATTTCGAAAGGAAAAGGAAGCTGGAGAGAAGCTTGAGACAAAGTTGGCCAAGTTAGCAAGCTGTCAGGAACATCCAAACTCAGGGAAACTACCTCCTCCTCTGTCTTCCCCCTTGGAAGTAGCTGGGGCTGGGCTCCAGCAGAGGCCATCAGGGAGGAGTCATCTTCAGCCCTGACCGGTGGTAAGCATGCTGAAGGTCAGTGTGTTCACAGAGCCAGACTGCTGGGTTCAGGTCCCAGCCCTGCTGCTTCTCTTAGTGTGGCACTGGTAGGACCGCCAGTTGTCCTATTAAACTTGCATTTTAGATAAACTATCAATAACACCTCAATATAAGTACAAGGTGTGACTGAGTAATATGGTGAATGTTTATATTTTTTAAAATTTTATTATAGCCAGGCATAGTGGCACATGCCTGTAGTCCCTCATGTAGTAACTCATGAGGCTGAGGCAGGAGGATAACCTCAAGTTCAAGGCCAGCCTGGGCTACATAGCGAGTTCAAGCCCAGCCTGAATTACATGGAAAGACCCTGTCTCAAAAAAAAAATGTATTACAGTCAGAGACAAACTGCCATTAATTTCCCTCAAAACACTCTCCCACCCTTTGAATACACTTATTCCATCATTTTTGCCACTTTCCGAAGCAGTCCTAGCAGTCCCCTCTCCTGAATACCCTTAGTTGTGCTGTTGTGACTGCCTCGATAGCTAACACGTTTACTTTCCATGGTCATTTTGACTGTGGGGAAAACTCAGAAGTCACATGGGGCCAGATCTGGTGAATTGGGGGGGATGGGCACCCACCATAATGTTTTTACAAACCTGCCTTTCTGTTGGATGGCCCTCAGCATTCACTGTTTTTATCACGTCCCATAAAGACACGAAAGAGGGCTTCCAGAATGGCTTTATAAAGTGGTAAGAGTCATGATAAATGTGTTTGAAACAAGGGAGACTATTTTGAGGGAGATTAATGGCAATGTGTCTTTTACTACAATACATTTTTTAAAGTTTAAACATTCACCATATATTTTGATACCTTTGTATGTCTCCAGCACTATTTGGGACAGACTTATACTAAAAAGTATCCATTGTTTACCACAAACTCTAATGTGACTGGGTGTCCTGGCAACCTACGGCCTTAGGTAATTCACTTTGCCCCCATGGGGCTCAGGTCTCCCATCTGCAAAGCAGGGATAAAGGGTAACTTCTACCGCAAGAGGGCGGAAGTGAGCAAAGGCAGTGCAGTTGCTCAGCATCTGACCCTGGTACAGGCAGGCTACATTTGCAGCAAGTCTCCAGACTCCTCTCCTGGCTGTGGGTGGGGCTCCTGCCAGGGAGCCAAGGCCAGCCCTCTGGTTCGTGGGCTCCTACGAAGACCAGAGAGGTAGGATGTGTAAGGAAGGCATTTATAGGGGGACAGATGCAAGGGCTACACGAGCAGCACAGAATTGTCCCTGGGTGCAGGGAGGGCTCCTGAGAGACTGGTCAGACCTGGATGAGGAACCGGCCGGGGAGTTATCCCACAGGCTCAGCCTCCAAGGGCCTGCAGAGAGCAGTCGACCACAGCATGTGGCTGGTGGCAGGGGAGAGCAAGGGGACTGGGAAGGACCATGGAGAAACCCTACCTTTGTCTCTTCCTCTTGCAGACAGAGGAAACCCAGCGAAAATCTGCCCCCTTGGGAGCGTTCTCCAGGTGGTCAGAAGGGAGAGGGTGGGCACTGGTGATGAAGTCTTAAGTCACTGCTGTTATGGGGCTATGGCCAGGTAAGAGCATGCAGCACAGAAAGACTAAAATGGTAGGTGGCTCAACCTCTGCCTCTGCTCACCCCAGGAGGACCTGGGCTCCTTCCCCTGCCTGGACCTTGAGGCTGCCATCCAGGCACCATGCCCCGTGGGCTGATGTCCGCAAGGAGGGCAGTTTGTCTACAAACCTAGGAGCTAGCTGCTAGGCCTGGGCAGTAAGATGAACTGGGCAGAAGCAGAGGCACTTCGGGTACCTGTCCTGACCCGCGGGTAAGTCAACGGAGACCCTAGAGGGGGAGTGAGAATGACAAGGGACAAGAGACACGAGAGATGGAGACAAGACAGGTTTCTGATCAAGTCTCGTTTATTGCAGAAGCTGCTACAGCATATATACCGTAGGGCTAGAGGGAAGGAGCAAGGGGAGGGTACTGGGGCTACTTCCTTGTTGCCGGGTAGACTTGCAGCAGGCCCAGACATGCCCGTAAAAGGCACTCAAGAGTTCTAGCGGGGGGGGGGGGGGGGGGGGGGAAGCCCCCCCACAGGTACCGTCAGCAAGGACACAGGCCCATATTTCACCCGGTCAGTGGTTCTACATCCCACACTGAACTTTTCTTAAAAATACTCCTATTTCTTTAAAACCTGAAGATATTATTTGCTGCTAGTTTTTGCCCAAGTTACCAGCACACGTTAATTTTATGGCAGAAATTAATTCTACCTAAACAAATACTGTTAGTGCTCAATTATTCCTCACCGACTCCCTTTGAATAAATATCCATGAAGAGACTTTAATTAAAATGTCAACAAGAGAAGCAGGCTGGCGAGGTGGAATCTCACTCAGCAGCGAGCTGGACCAGGGCAGCATCCAGGGGAGAGCAGAGAGCCAGACTGGCAGGGAGCATCAGCCCACATCAGGGGAGAGGTGGCCTGCTTCATAGAGATGGGATGCAAGCCACACCCCTCCCATCCTGCTCCGGGGCTGGCTCAGAGGCTTCAAGCTCTCAGCAGCAAAGGATGCAGTGTAGGTAATGAGTCTGAGTGATGCAGGCTCGGCCCGTAGAGCCCAACTGCAAAAGGACAGGGGCTGTGACTGGCAGCTCACCCAGGCCTCGGTTGTGGGTCAGGAGGGAGAGAGGAGGGGAGGTAGATTCTGCCAAGAAGGGCAGCCAGCCACTGGCCCACCCAGCTGACCACAGCTTGGTGGAAAAGCAAGCCCAGGCTTACTGGCTCTTGGGCCTTTAGAAAGCAGTACCAAAGCTTTTATGCAGAAGTTCCCCTACTTTATATGTCAGATTTGAATTTACAACTTTCAAAACTGAATGGCACACACCACTCTGGGAGACTGAGGTGAGAAGATCACATGTCGGAGCTCAGCTTGGGCAACTTAGCAATTTAGTGGGAATTCATATCAAAATTTTTAAAGGGGGGAGGGGCTGGAGACGTAGCTCAGTGTGAAGGCCCTGAGTTCAATCACCAGTCATAAATAAAATCTACCTATCTATCATGACAGCCCCAAACGCGACGGTTCTGGAAACCAGGCTCATCTTCAAGCATCCGAGCGTCCACTTTTGCCTTTACATTGTTCCCAGAGTCTGTGGAAAGTGGCATCTTCTAACCAGTGGGGCGGGAAGTGGGAAACAGTGGAGAAGAGCACAGGGCCAGGCTAACCGCAGCCGCTGACTCTGCCTTTGATCGCGGCCTCGGCTTCTGTACGACATGCAGAGACAGGGATGGCTCCTCAGAGAGGGACCCTTGTCCTTAAGAACTGTGCTCAGAGTGGGTCCAGGGCAGTTGAGGCAGGATGGAGCCCAGAAAAGACAGGCCTATGCAGCCCGGAAGGAATAGAGTACAGCCCCTAAAAGCCATTGTTGCCACTTGGAGGCAGCACTTTCCTTTGTCTCCTCAGAAGGCAGCAAAAGACAACCTTGGGCTTTTCTAGCCAAGAAAACCTTCTTCAGAAGCCGTGTCCTATCAGCACAAAGTGCACAGCAGATGCGAGTGGCCTTGATCTGCTCTTCAGAGGGGCGCCCTGACCTTGAGACCCTGTGGTAGTCCTCGTGTTCCAACATTCAAGCTCACTGTCAGAATGGCTTTGCCCACTGAAGTCCGGGCCATAGTGATCCTTGGAGTAGCTCTTCTCTGGCTCCTCTGCTCAATGTGAGAATATTTCGTGCTGCACAGGAGAGAGGCAAAGACGGCAAAGCATTACAGTGTAAGCCTGCAAAATGAACCTCCAACTTGGCCAGGCTGCAAGAGCCACACTCAGCCCACTGACCTTAAAATATCTTATTTTTACTTACTCTTCTCAAACTTTAAAAGAAAGAAAGAAGCACAGCCTGGGAGCAACTCTGCAAAAACTCTGAGTGGTGTTTGTTTGCAAACCGCCAACCCAGGCCATCTTCCCCTGCCCCTGCTGCCAGCTAGAACAAGCTCTGCAGTGCCCCTTGAAAAGGACTCCTCAGCCCTGTGCTGCACAACACGAGCTGGAACCCCTATGCACATGGAAGTCCAGGCCAGACCAGTTGTTCCATCCCATGGCCCCTCTAGGAGCTTAACTCACAGGCATGCCCTGCACAGTGTAGGCCAATGGTAGGTCACAGAGGATGTCCTAAACAAGACCTCACTCTTTACTTTCATCTCCAGGTACTAAATGGAATGGCCTCAAAGCTTCCATATTCTTTTCTTACAGGGCTTTAGAATTTGCCATTTCTGGATAAATGGAGATGAGGAATTTCCCAAGGTGAGAGGGTGGGGGGCCCAAGGAGTGAGTGCCTCTATTGTGTTCCTTTGGGATCTCTTTTAAATGGCTCCAGTGTGTCTTTTATCCTGCTCACTATCTAAACGATAAAAATTAATATCTTAATTGACACCTTACTCTGGAGCCAAAGAGGCTTTGATTTCTTGAAGAATGATTAGGCAAATGGTGATGCTCATTTAATGTACAGGATGAATCAGCTGTTCCTGCATCAGAAGGCTTCCCTCACCTCCTGAGCAGCCTCATTTTCCAGTTTAATCATGACAGATAAACTTCTTCGTGTTCCAGCGCTATTCCTGATACCCTTCAGGAAGGGAAGAACTAGATTGAGAGACTGTTAGCATCCAATCAGCGCAGCAGACTCCGAGCCAGCTGGCCTGCTCAGCCCTGTGCCCCAGAGCACAGATGCCTGAGCTGAATGCGAAAAGAGGCCACAGTGGGGAAAGGAGATTCCACCTCAGCTGAGCCAAATGGCCCCTCCTCACCCCTGCACTGGGGGTCAAAGTGAGCTGGATCAGGCAGGGTGGTGCCTGCCTGAAATCCTAGCACTAGGGAGGAAGCTGAGGCTTCCTCAGCCAGGATCTCTGCCAGTTCGCAAGCCAGCCTGGGCTACATAGTGAGTTCAAGACCAGCCTGAACTAAAAGTAATACCTTGTGTCCAAAACAATGAGCTGGGACCTGTCATCTCACACAGCAGGGGACCATCCTAGCTCTCTCCAAGAGGCAGTGAGGCAGAGACTTGGGCCCCAGATGCAGAAGGGCTGTAGCCACATACTAGACATAGGTCATTCTCCAAGAAGGAGCCCACACATGGGAATGAGGGGAGCCCTGGGCTTCTAAACCCCTGAATTCCAAACCTTTGCTGGTGCAAAGATCCCACTTCCTCCAGGGAAAGCCTGGAGACCACTCTTCCCTGTCTGCCCTAATTTCACTAGAAACCAACACAAAGTGTTTGTGCATCTGATGAATCATGTGGTAAAAAGTTCCAAATCCTGGGTGGTTCTTTCACCAGAGTTCCAAGGATGTCTAACAATAAGTGGTTGACAAGGTAGTTTGTCCTGCTCTCAAGAGAAAATGTTTCTAAGACAGAACAGGCAGGGCAAAAATTAGTTCTTCTCAAATTAGTTCTTCTCTATCTCTTTTCAGACAAGTAGCTCTACTGGCTTTTTCTGAAGACCAGTTTGCAAGGCACATGACTCTGTTTGAGGCTCTTTGTTCACGTCCTTGTATACATTAGCTTTTGCTATGTAACTAAGGACCCTAAAACTCAGTGGCTTTGGTGTGACACCATAACCATTTACTTAGCTCATGATTCTGTGTTTCAGCGATTTGGGTTGGGCTCTGATGGGCAGTTCTTCTGCTGGTCTCTGTTGGACTCATGCAGGCAATCAGTACCAATTCACTTGGGAGCTGGTTGATCCACATGGACCTCTGCTAGGACATAAGCTCTTCTCCTTTAACCAGCCAAGGCTTGTTCACGTGGCAGTGAGTTCCAAGACCCACGAGGGAGGGCACGCTTTAATACACAAGCACTGTTCAAGCTTTTGCTTACTTGGCCAAAGCAGGTCATTGGCCAAGCCCACAGTTAGTGTGGGAGGGTACAATCACAGGGTATGGATGCTGGGGGATAGGGAAGACTCCTGTTCCCATTTTTTCAAACTGTTGCTGCAATATTGCTCAATCTGGACCCCAGTCCAGTGTGACAGCCCAGTGAGAAATTAATATGTACATATTAATTTCATGGAGCCATGCTCATACCTCTCTGGGTCTTGTGCCCATTTTATAGAATGTAGCACAAGACTCAAAGGTAAAAGGTATTGCCTGGTGTCACACAGCACCTGGCAACAGGGCAAGGCTTAGATGCCCATCTCTCTAATGCCAGCTCACTGCCCCAAACCACCTCTCCTGGTACCCATGGCAGTGCGAGAATGAGGTGCCCCCCAGGAGCCAAACCATGGCCATCCTGCAGACATCCACCAGCAGAGACTCTGCAGAGCCTGATCCCCACCATCCTCACACACCAGCCTCCAGGAGCCACCACTGAAGCCCTCCTGGCCCTGCTGCTTCCTCCCTGCCCCACTGCAGAAGGCCAGGCTGGCTATTTGACTCTAGGGCCTTTTGTAAGCTGTGAGCAATTTTCAAACTTTTAAACTTGAGTGGGTGAGACTGGTACAGTGGCAGTGACCAGTCAGCACTACTGGGGGGCTCTCTCCTCAAATCTCCGATGTCCACAGTTCCACCAGGCCACCAGGCCAGCCTAATTGTGCCCACATTGGTCATTCTCCTGCTGCTGTGTACCTTGAGGGTCTGGAGTCCTAAGTACATATACACCTGCTCTTAAGCACCTCACATGGGTTGTTTCTCTTTCACCTGCACTTGCCTGAGCATCAGGTTTTGCATAAGCATGAAGACTTGAGCAGGAGATCAGGAGGCCATGGGCCCATCTGGCCTTGGGAGCCCCATGAGCCCAGTAGGCAGCACTTTGCCCTGCTGGCCAGATCCCCATTTTCCATATATCTGAGCCTTGGTGAGAGCTACCCAGGCACCTGGTCAGCCATCAGCTCGCCCATCACGTCCACCTCTCGTCCTTCCCAGTGATGTATGACAGCGAGGAGCAGCAGAGCAGATTCAGAGTCTTTGGGGTGACCACTGCACTGCGATTCTTCCCGCTGATGGATGGCCAGAGGCAGAGTGGCAACCTGAGCCAAGCTGCAGGAGGGCTGGGAGTGAGGACTGTCTGGAAAATTAAGATCTGAAGAGGAAGGTTAGCACATCTAGATCTGACCTGTCCTTGGGCTTCTCAGCAGGGCTTCAGAGCTCTGTGCACAGCAGACAGCCCAGCCCCCTTTCCATGCAGAGGCTTGAACATAACCCAAAATGTTTCCCCAGATGGACAGATGCAATCCTGAAGTTTCAAGTTGGATCATTTGTCCAATCTCCTCCTTTTACAAAAGGGAGGTGGGGGCCCAGGCATGAACTCTGTGACACCAACAGTTGGAGCCAGATTAAGAATGATAGGGTGGGAGAAAGGCCTTTGGTGGAAAAGACTAAAGTGCTTTTACCTGGAGAGAGGAGAATCATGCATTCAGGCCAAGCCTTGTCAGGGAAGCCACAAATCTGCACCAAGTGAGACCAGAGGGAACTGGCTGCAGCTCCCACAGTCAGCTGTGTGCAGGAGGCCTTGCCTTCTGCACCATCTGGTGTTGACGCAAGGAAGGGCCTCCCATGGCCCATCCCAGGCACGGGGCTCCTGCGAAGCTGGCTGGTTAGAGGAAGGGAGGAGAAAGGCATCGAGAAAGTGCAGGTGAGCACAGGGAGGCTGGAAACTGCTTCCATTCATGTTGCTGGTCTCTCAGCCAATTAGCAGTGAGGTCACCAGGCACCGAGCTGCTCAGAGGGTCCCTCAATCTCCTGGTGACCCTGAAGAGAGCCTCGTTATTTCTAGATGAAGCTCAGAGGTGGGTGTTCCCTGGTTGCACGAGAAGCCTTGTAGTTGCTGGGAACCTGACGGCAGATGGGGAACCAGGCAGGTGGCCCAAGTAAGCTGAGAGGAAGGCTGGTGTTAGGGCCTCAGAGGAGGCCAGGGGCCTAGGTTAATGACTGAGTTGGAGAAGCAGGAGGGATTGACCCAGACAGCGATGCAGTCATTTCTGCAGGACCCTAGCCCCCCACCTTCACCAGTGTTTTCTGAACTCCCTGGTGCAATATGAGTGGATTGGCAATGTAGTTTCAGAAAAAAGACTCACACGGAATCATCAGTACGTCTAAAACGGGACCTATGGAAATAGTGAACTATGTAGTTTAGGCAGAGAGCTAGACGGGACACACACAGTGGATCTGTATGTGAGCAAGGCATCCTCATGCAGGAGGAGGGGGCAAGGGGAGCAGATGGTCTTTTTTATTACAATAAGGACTTGGACTTTAGAACTACAATAGACCACATTCCCCTCAGGCCAGGGGCACCTGGTGTCTGTCCGCAGTAGCCTCCTAAAACGTGTGGTCTATAAATAACAAACAGCAGTAACAAAATGCTTTGTCACTAACCCAAAACCACCACGTGCCACCTCCAGCCGAGTGCTGCAGTCAAGTGGCCCTGGGAAGTTTCACTCTGCCTGGCTGCTTGTGAGCTGCCCAGCTTTCCTAGTTCGAGGGTTCACCTCTCCTGTTTTCTCATCCTCTGCAGGCACTGGCCCTAGCTCTGCCACAGACCCGCTCCTGTCCCTGCTCCTGTTAGCACTGCATAAGCTCCTTCGCCTGCTGCTGGGGCACTGACAGTCATGGCAACCTGAGCACCTCAGCAGGCACACTCCTGCCTGCACACCAGAGAGGACCACATGGCCAGGCAGACACACAGAGACTGAGAAGCATGAAGAAGTACACACAGAAAATAAATAAATCATATTTTTGAGGAAGTCACGCAAACGTAGAACAGCTAAAATAATGCATCTAGTTTCCAAATAAGATGGAGTTTGGACCATGCAATAAGCATGGGGTCAATGATTTCTCTACTTCAATGTATTTTTCTTTTCTACACTTTCCTTCCAAGTCTTCATGTTGCACGAACTGTTGAGCAGTTATCTTTAGGATAATATGTAAAAAATGTTGGGTCAAAGCCTTTCTGACAAAGCAAAATATTTTTAGTAGATTAATGTGTTTAGGATTTTTTTTATTTACTTTTCCTTTGGGGGGTTTTCTTTTTTATTAAATTATTTCTTTTGAGACATTTTGATTAAAAAAGGCACATCATAATTAAAATTCACTGTCAATAATATTTATTTTTAAATAAAGATTGGAAACAAGGTCAGACACTTGTTTATAAACTGTATTGTATATTGCTGAATAACAGTTGAATAAAAAAACAACTTTGAAATAACCTTTCTACAGCCATGTATGACTGTTCAGCCTCAGTGCCCGCTGCAGCCTGGATGCCATAACCTCCTGTTCTCCAACACCAGCTGTACTCTTGGCTGGTGTCTCCCAGCATGGAAGACAGCCCAGGGCACCTGGCTGAGGCCACAGCAAGCAGGGGCACTTGCCCAGCCTCCCCTAGGGACAAGAAACTTCATGGCAGCAAGAGGGAGAGAACCCCTCAGCCTAGATCCCGAAGGAAAGGAGGTCACTATATGAATCAACAACCGTTCTTTCCACTCTTGCTTTCAATTAAATGTGCAATGCATTTGCCCACTTGGAGATTATACACCAAGGTGCAATTATTGCTGTTGACTTTACTACTAGGTTAGAGAATTTGGAGAGAAGGTGGAGCCTTCCACACTCTTTTCTCCATGCCTCTAGAGATTGCTTTGAGTCCCTGAAATCCATGGGTCTGAGGGCAGGTTACACATCTTAAGGAAACTGGCATGTCCTAGAAACTATTGGTCTTCACATCATGGCAGGCTACCATTAAATAGCCAGTCCCAAGGATTTGCTTAAAACCTAGCCAGATTCTTGCACTTGCAGTTTAAACACATGTGTTGTCATTGATATTGTTCACCAAAATACCTCCATCCTCTGCTAACCAGGCACATGGTAAGACTACATTTTCTGGCTTCTAATGATATATGGGGCCCATGAGCTGTGAACAGAAAGAACCTGCATCACTTCTAGGCCAAGGCATATGATATCCAGGGCAAGGCCTCCCAGAGCCTTCATTTCCTCTAATATGATGACTGGCAACATTCAAAATAGTGCTGCACTAGCTCAGGTCCTTGACTGACTGTGATGGGCAGAGCCTCCCCTGCTGGCCAGCACTGTATATGCAGCATGATGAAGAACCAGGCTTTGCCATTTCAAGCCATTGAGCTTTGGGGTTTGCTTGTTATTATACAGTATACCCCAGACTATCCTGACTGGCTCAGTATTTAGTTAATGGACTGTATTTAGTTAAAAGAAATCGTGCATTTGGAGAATCCCACACACGCAGAGACTCTCCATGTGGCACTGATGTCCTGGGATGCCTGTGTGAAGAAAACCTCAGGACTGCTCTTTCTGATGGATACATTGAGTTGTTTCACACTTCATTTCTATTGATCAGTACCAATCAAACTGTAAATTTAATTGTTTGGTCTGGTGAGTAGTGATTCTGTCCAGAAGGATCATCTCTTTTTATAGTTAACTCAATACTGCAACAGGATAATGTCATGCTAAATACTGGCCCTCTGTGCTGGAAAAGAAAAAAGTACTTTCTGGATGCCAGGTTGAATGGAGGCGATGTGTCAGAGATGGGCTGATGTTGTGCCAGATCACTCCAGGGGGCAAGGAGCTGAGAAAACACTTCCTGTCATCAAACCTCACTGCCCTTCACAAGCAGAGTCAGTCAGGTTCCTGCCTGGAAGCTCCTGCCCCCAGACTGATGCAGAGGGGAGGGCAAGGCAGGTGTGCTTTGGAGAAACTGCTCTCCTGGGCTACCCTTGTTCTCCTCAAGAAATAGCACCTCATACACAAAGGAACAAGTGCTTATGTCTGCCTGCTGGCAACCAGGAGAAGGAAATTACTGGGCTGGGCAAGTTCCCAGATGGGGAAGTTTAGCCCCACCTGCACCCTAACAGCACAAGCAAATGGAATTCAGACTGAAGCCATGGCCAAGCAGAAAGCTAAAGCAAATCCCCCAGGCCCTGCCATGGAACTGTTGCCAGCTTCCCTGATGGCTCAGGGCCCTAGACATGAAGGAAAAGTTAAGTGCACACCTGCAAATTCACAATGCAGCCATGGGCTCCTGCTTTCCAGAGTCCTCGTGTAGCCTTCCAAGAATGAGGACAACAAGTGGGCAGCCTGCAGTGGCTTTTATCAGATGCATACAAACCAGGAAGGACAATCACTTGTGAGAAATGAAAAGCATGGCATTAGGCTCACTCCACAAAATGACTCCTCCTTTGCATTTTGGTGTCAGCCCAAGACAGACCTGGCCAGGATCTGAAGACAAGCTGATTGGATTCTGAGAAGAACTCACTGCAGGTAATGAGGAGGTCTGGTCCCAGCCTATGAGGATCTGCTGATCTGCTTCAAAACCTTGTAGAACTATGGCTCAGCATTGTAACTAACACCAAAATAAGGGACATGAGGTGGGAACGGAACCATCACTGAGTTAGAGTGGAGAAGAGTAGGAAAGGCAAGTGTGGATAAGATAGGCATGCTGGGGAAGTCACCCATGTCCTGGATCCAGTGAGGGCTCCCCTGCATCCTATAGTCAAGATAAGGGTTTCGCCCCTGGTTGGTGGCAACTTGTGTGGCCCAGTCACCTGTGTCTTGCAGCCAGCACCCAGTATTCCAGGGGTATAACACTGGGGGAAGGACAGGAGTTCTTAGAATCTGATAGGAAAGATATGATCAGAGGTAACATTCGGAGGTTCAGTGCTATCTCAACCCCACATTCCAAGTTACAGCTCTGACCCAGGGGGGAAAAAAAGACTAATTGATCCAAGATGGCCCTAAATTGGACTGCAACCAATGAGCCACTTGTGAGCTTCTGGGGTTGGAGCTAAGAGGCATCTGAACTGACAGGCAGGGGAACAGCTCTTGATTATTTTTCCATGGTTTCGCCCCTACAGACCCCTGTGCAAATCAGGCAACAAACACTGGGTATCCATTTCCTCAGCATTTCGGGGGGCACACCCCCTGCTTCTCCCAGATAAGGAGTGGTAACAAGCATGAGGCAACTGCACCCTCTGTGCTCACACCTGTCTGTGTGTAGCAGTCTGCTGCTTTGGAACACTCTCGCCTTCCTTCCAGAGAGTGACACGCAGCAGAAATGACACAGCACACGGGAAACTTCAGCCAACCTGGACACTCAGTCTTTGCACAGCACTGCTGCTGCCCCTCAGAGTCCCCTGCTGTCATCAGCCAAGAAAAGTCAGTACCACCCACTAGGTGAAAGGATACCCTTTACCTCATCCCAGGGGCCCTAAAAATGCAAGAAAACCCATGACCTTTATGAGAGACCCACCCCACTCTGTGGCTGCAGACACAACATGAGGTAAAGTCTAGAAACATTGCCAGAGGTGACCTCTTTTAAATGACAAAGACCCAGGGAGCACCAAAAATATATTTCAAGTCATAGAAAATGTGACTTCACACCAAGTCTAACCTGCTACCAACTAGCAAAAACCCAACAATGGTCAGATTTGTTCCCTACAAATGATTATTTTTAAAAGGGAAAATGGCAGGTAGACTCTTGGTAGAAATGCGGATGGTGTCTGTTAGATTTTGAGGTTAGGATTTCTTAAATGAGATCCAAAACGTATTAACTGTAAAATAAAAGATGTATAATTTTGACTGCGTAACTACATTATCAAAAGCTACCTTTAAGAAAGTGAAAAAATGTTTGCAAAATACAACCAACAAAGGACTAGTGTCAAGGATGTGTAAAGAACTCCTAAATATCAGTAAAGAAAAGCACAAACAATGGGAAGATGGACAAAAAATATGAATCACCATGTTATAGAAGAAAAACTATGACCAGGAAAAGGTATTCAGCTTCTATATTGATAAAAAGAAATGTAAATCAAAGCCACAATAACTATGCTCACTAATTTACCAAATTTTTTAAAACATGACAATAACAAATGTTAAACAGGATACAGATCCACAAGATTGCTTACATATCGATCATGGGAGTGTTAACTGTGTATGACCTCATCTGAAAACACTTTGGCACTAACTCTTAAAATTGAATGTTCATGTACACTATGACCCAGAGCGTCAACTCCTAAGTGGCAAAAATTCTTGCTTATATACACAAGGGAACATGTGAACAAAACCATGTGGCAGCCTCTTCATAGAACCTGGAAATAGACAAGTACTCATACACTGGAGAGTAGATGAATGTGTTGTAGAGTAGTCTCATGATGGAATGTTACATAAGAGTCAAAGCACAGGAACTAAAAAAGCAACCAAACTGTGGGTCTTAGCATCTGTTAGTTTAAATAGGAAAGTCCAAAAGATTACATATAGCATGATACCCTTTTTGATAAAAAGTTAAAACTGAACCAAAAAAAAAAACTGGATGGGTAGAAGAAAGGGTGAGAATAGATGGATGGAGATAGATAGATAGATAGATAGATTGATAGATTGATTGATTTAAGAAAATACACAGTTAAGATAAAACTATTTTTAAAAAAAGAAGAAGAAGAAGCAAGAGAGTGATAAATAGATACAAGACCATGGTTAATTTGGTGTGGAAAGGCAGAGGGTGGGTAGAGGGGGACCCCTCCGGCAGATGAAGGTGACTATCAAGATCGTAGTTTCACGCTGAGTGGTGGGACAGGTTACTTATTGCATTATCACAAATGAATAAATGACTGAATGTTGTCCTATTCAGAACAATGATGATAGCATCTCATAAACAAGGGTAGTGATTATTCAACTCATGCAGGTTAAAAGCAAAGTGAAAAAAAAGGACAGTCTTATCAGTCTTATTCTCTGAGAACAAAAACAGTAATAACTGGAGCCGGGGATTTAGCTCAGTGGTTTCGCCACCTGCTGCGCAAGCACAAGGACCAGAGTTCGATCCCCGGTACCAAAACAAACAAACAAACAAAAAAAAAAGTAATAACTGTCCCTTTCCACCACATCCAAGATAAGTTTACATCTAACTCCACCTCCCACCCAGAAGTTGCAGACTGACAGCTCACAAGCACATCTAGCTCACTGGTACATTTTGTTTTGTCTAAAATAAGGATTTTTATTATTACCTTACAATATCAGACACGCTCAAGTAAAAATCCAAATTTCTGGCTTCTCTTGAAAAAAAAATCGTAATATGTTGCTACATGGGGTCCATATTCTGATTTGGTAACAACTGGTGAGTGCTGTCAGCAGCTGCCCCCTGATAGTGAATGCTGTCTCCCCACTTCCCTCTGAACCCTGCCATCCACTCCTG